CATCAAGGTTACTGTAGTTAACGAAAACGAACGATAAAACAAAAACTAATATTGAAAAACAAAGTCGTTAACTGAAATAAAAATAAAAACGAGAGATTTTTTAAAAACTAGAACTAACTGAAACTGTATTGTGTACATACAAAACAGAAACTAACTAAAATTATAGCAAAAACCTCCTTCGTTTTCCACTTTGTAAATGTATTTAGTACATAATCTTACTGTAAGCCTTTAAGAAGTCAATATAATTCGCGCTGTAAGATGTTTGAGTCTGTAGTCCTGATGATGCCATTGGCCAGATCGAGCCGGTTCTCCTCCAGTCAGTCCTCACTGTTGCTCCCGCGACAAAAACAACGAGTGGACATTACAGGATTACAGGCACGTAAAGCTACTACTTTAACACATTTGTGCCCAATAATGGGTTTTATTTCTGTATTTTGATCGCGAACAAATCTTTTTAACCGGATCTTCTAAGTCAGCGGTGCCCAAACTCGGTCCTGGAGGGCCGGTGTCCTGGAGAGTTTACCTTCAACTTGCTTCAAAACACTTGCCAGGAGGTTTCCAGTATATCTAGTAAGAGCTTGATTAGCTGGTTCAGGTGTGTTTGATTAGAAACTGAGGCTACAATTCACACAGGCTCACCAAAACTGGACAATAGAAGATTGGAGAAACGTTGCCTGCTCTGATGAGTCTCCATTTCTGCTGACACATTCGGATGCTCAGGTCAGAATTTGGCGTCAACACCATATAAGCATGGATCCATCCTGCCTTGTGTTAACGGTTCAGGCTGGTGGTGGTGTAATGCTGTGGGGGAAATTTTCTTGGCACACTTTGGGACCATTAGGGACCATCACCTACAGAACAAGTGTCTCCATCTTCTGATGGCTACTTCCAGCAGGATAACGCACCATGTCATAAAGCGTGAATCATCTCAGACAGATTTCTTGAACATGACTATGAGTTTATTGTACTCAAATGGCCTCCACAGTCCCCAAACCTCAATCCAATAGAGCACATTTGGGATGTGGTGGAACGGTAGATTGACATCATGGATGTGCGTCGACAAATCTGCAGCAACTGCGTGATGCTATCATGACAATATAGAGCAAAGTCTCTGAGGATTATTTCCAGTAGCTTGTTGAATCTACGTCACAAAGCATTAAGGCAGTTCTGAAGGCAAGAGGGTCCAACCCGGTACTAGTAAGGTGTACCTAATAAAGTGGCCGGTGAGTGCATACTTTCTATGTGAGTCTACAATTTGAGTTTTTACTGCAAAAGTCACACCTATAATGCTGAAATGGATCACATATAAATAATTTTGTCCATATGAGATGCATATAGTCATATTACACAGCCCAAATATTATCTACTGGTGAAACAGACATATAATCTTAAAGCTTATGGAAAAACGGTGAGCAGAAGAAGCTGAGTGCCTGACGGCCGAATAACACTGTGCCAGAGTCATTATTAATTCAGTTAGTGTGCAGCAAAACAATTCATTATGGGAAGCACTTTCACAGCACACAAGAGCTAAATCACTTACTATTGAATTCCTATTGCCTTCTCAATTTATTTCTGTTCTGCAGGCCAAGACCCACGTGTGAGACTGAAACACTTTAGAAGTTACAAAATAATAATACATGTGACGTCATT